TATTAATTATTGTTTTTGTTTTTTTTATTTTAAATTTTTTTTATAGTTTTGATCTTTATTGTATAAAATATTAAAATATATATTTTATTTTTTTTAAAAAAAAATATATTTTTTTTATTTTTTAAAAAATTTTTTTTATTAATAAAAATTAGATCACAAAGAGACCTTGCAGTTAAAAAATTTGAAGAATTAACCAGCACATATACAAGATTAAAACAAGAAAATGATACTTTACGTGAAAAAATAAAGAAACAACTTGAAGATATTAATAAAAAATTGAATATTGATATATTAGCAACAAATTTAGCAGATAAATTAAAACCTTTAATTGGAGATATTAATTATGAAACAGTAAAAAAAAATGTAAAGAAGCATTAAAAGAAACACAAGATTTTTTAGAATTAATTCCTCAAGATGTTGATAATTTATTAAAAAATCAACCGCCTATTCAAGAATCTACTTCTAAATAATTTAAAAAATATGTTATGTTTTTTAATAATTATATAAATACTTTGTATTTTTTTTATTTTTTTAAAAAAAAATAAAAAAATAAAAATAAAGTATGTATTATTATTACACATAAATTTATAATTTTTTTTATAATTTTTATTAATTAATTAATTATTTTAGTATGAAATTAAGCAAAATTATTATTTTATTTTTGGTTTTATTAATTTTTGTTTTACAAATGCGCAACAACAACAAAAAAGACGATCTCGTTGTTCAATCTGTAAGAAAAACAATGTTGATATGATTGGCTTTAATAAACGTACTCACATAGCAGTTGGTAATCATCAACGAAAAAATATAAAACAAAACAAAAGACAAGTTAAATGTAGTATTTGTAGAAGAGTAGGGTTTAATAAGCGTACTTATCCAAATCATATTTAATTAAGCAAATATGTATTTTTTATTTATTAATTAAATAAAAAATATATTTTTTTTAAAAAATAATACAAAAATATGATTTTTTTTTAAGAAATAATATAAAATAAAAAAAATATAATTTTTTTTAAAAAAAATTATAATTTTTTTAAAAAAAAATTATTTATCGTTAGGTGGTAATTCACCATATAATTCTACCATCTTATTATACTTTGTTTTTAATTTATAATATTTATCTTTAAATTTTTTACAGTCTTTTTTTATAATTATGACTGCATTATGTAATGTTTGATTTTTTTTACATTTAACCGAAAGCTTAATTTTTTCAAATTGAGCTTTAATATAATCACATGATTTGCATTGAGAATCTTGCTCGTTAATATTTTTTCTTATTTGCAAAAGTGAACCATGAATTTTGTGATTTTTTTCGATTATATTATCAATATCGTTTACTAAAGATACTTAAAAAATAATACTTATATTAAAAAAAACAAAAAAAATAAAATAAAGAAAAAATTTTTTCTCATAAGTCTAAAACACAAAAAAGAGAACCGGCCAAGAAAAAAGAAAAAAATGTTTAAATAACGTTACTAACCCAGTAGCAAAAAAATAGTTATAGAAACAAAAAACAAAAAAAAACAAAAAAAAATACTAACTTTTTTACGAAAAAAAGTAACTTGAGAAAAATGAAAAAAAAATAAAAAAATTTTAACAGAAATTTGTTTATTAATCCAAAAAAGAAACAATATAAATTTTTATACTTATAAAAAGAATAATTTTTAAACGTAATTATCAATAATAATCACACAATTTTTATCAAACTTAAAAAAGAAACAATATAAATTTTTATACTAAGATCAGCAAATATATTATATTATAAAAAATCATTAAATATTTGTCTATCCTAGTATAAAAATTTATATTGTTTCTTTTTTAAGTTTGATAAAAATTGCGTTTTTATAATTTCTTTTTAATATTTTATGTTATTATAAATATAAATATTTTATTTTAAAATATATAATATAAATAATAAAGTTATATAATAAAAATAAAAAAAATAAAAAAAGCCATTTTTTAATACTAAACGTGTACTAAATTTTTTATTATTATATTTTATATACAAAACTTGTTTATCATAATACATTTTTGCTTGAGTTTTTTTAAAAAAATCTGTATCTAATAAAATTTCTTCTTCTTTAGATTGATATATATCAAATTTAATTGATATCTTAACATTATCAATTTTTATTATTCTTTTAATGTTCTATATGTTTATATATCATTACCCGATGCATCTGACAAATATCTATCTTCTTTATTTTGTATTTTTAATCCAAGTTTTTTCATCATTTTTTTTGTCATACCAGTTTGATCACACCCTGTATCTAATATCGCTTTAACCTTTTTACTATTAATACTAATCACACAAGAAGCATTACTATAGCTAATTTTTCAAGGTGTAGTTTTTTTACGA